CATTTTTTTCTATTAACTAACATATATTAGACAAATATTATAGATATTCAATATGATTGATGTTTATCCATTGTCTACACCAATGATTGGACGTGGTCATGATAGTCATGATCTATATCGTCCGTGCAAGGAGGAGGAGGAAGTAATATTGAATGAGCAATATCCATACCTCGTAGCGATTGGAGTGCTTTTATATTTAGCCACATCTACCAGACCAAATATTATATTTGTAATTAGTGTTCTTGCAAGACATAGTGCATGTCAAATACTACAACATTGGAATGGTATCAAACATTTACTATGTTGTGGTAATATAAATACATTCATGTATGAAAACCTTGGTTGACTTACTTTTCTTTGAACTTTTATTAAGTTCTTTTTTCTTCTTACCAATCTAATTTTTCTATAGTTTTAGAAAAAATAATTCCACTTTCTTCTTTTTTCTTTTCTAAAATTTTGGCTAAATTTTATTTTATCTTTAATCTTAACTTAATCTTTGGTTTAGCCTTAAAATTTTCTTTTATTCCTTTTACTTTCTTTCTAATCTTTGATTTTAGTAGATTCAGAGTTATATTTATAGATGTAAGAAGAACTTTGTCTTTGAGGTTATATTTAGGTTTTTATTAAGAATAAAAGAGAATTTAAATAGTATTATTTGGTTGCCATTAATAGTGCTGACTTGGAGGATTAGATTTGGTGTTTGTTTAACTTTAAACTATTAGTTTTTAACTTGGACTTTAAAGACCTTGGCTATGAATTCTTTGGTGAGCTCAGAAGTAAGGAAGAGGGGTTTTTTTTGTAAGTTGAGAAGAGATATTCAAAGAAAAGATCTTCTTGGCATGAATTTAGGTGGAAAAAATGCATGAATTGGAGCTTGGATGAGAGAGATATGCTTATTTAAACTTAGACTACTAATTTGATATCTATTGCCACTTTACTATATATATTAGGAGTTTTCAGATACTAGCAAGAAATCAGGGAATTGGATTAGAAATTAGACTTTAAGTTGAACATTTTATTTCCAAGGATTGATAGAATTAATTCTAAAATGAGTGAGATATGGCTAGTTAAAAATAACAAACTAAAACTAGGATTTTGAAGAAATTAGAGAAATAGAGGGTTTTGGTTTTAAATTAGAACTTGAGCTTGAAGATGAATTTGAAGCTCATTTTTTGTATACATCTTACTTATGATATAAAGAGCCTATGTCTAAAATCTCATATTAATTAAAATTCAAACTTGGAAGAAATGGCAAAATTTATTCTTAAGTGTCTAAGATTTTGACTTTCAAAGAATCTGATAAGGATTTGGTGATATCACTCGATTGGCAATGAACCTGTAGCTAAAAATGTGTGTAATGATGATCAAAGGTGCAAGTTTTGTACTTTCAAAATTTGAGCTTATTTGAATGGTTGAATCTTGAGATATGAATTTTTAAGCTTCAATTTTGCTAGTTTATTACAAACATAGTTATGAAAATACTCAAAGGGAAATTTAAGAAGGTTTTGTGCATATTAGACCCAACTTAAATACAAAGAGGGACTTTGTGTCTATCCAAAGCAGACTCTTGCTATCACAACATTATTTAAAAAGTACTGAAGATTTGGAATTAAACTACACATGATTTGAAGATCTAAAATTGGTTGGATATTTTGATTGAAGATATAAATTTAATATTGCAGTAGCTAAATCTCAAACATGCCATGTATTCTTAAGATATGGAGCTACAATATCATAGAAATCAGTGAAACAAATTATAACTGCAACTTCATCCAACCATATAAAAATTATTCTCTTACATGAAGCATCTCAAGAATGTATTTGGTTGCGATCAATTGATAAATTCATTTAGACAATCTATGGATTTTCATATGATGATTCTCCAACTATCTTGTATAAAGATAATAGCGCTTGTGTTGTACAAATGTAAATTGGTTTTATTAAAAGAGATAGGACAAAACATATTGATCCAAAGTATTTTAGTTATATCCATGACTTGGTTACTGATCAAGTACTTAAGATCAAGAAAATTGAATATGCAAATAACCTTACTGATCTCTTCACTAAAGCTCTCCCTTTGTACAATCATTGTCAACTTACTTATGGCATTGGTATGCGACAACTTACTTTTCTTGAGTAAGAAAGTTATTGAATTCTTCAAATAATATTATATTCTTTTTTCTTCATCTATGGTTTTGTCCTTAAATATAATAAGGTTTTCCTAGATAAAGTTTTAATGAGGCAACAATTATTGATCTTATGAGATTACATAAAAGTATAGATGATAATTCTATGCATATAAATATTATGACAAGGAAGGAGGAGTATTGAAAGCATTAAACGTAGCCGGCACTATCCATACTATTTACTATAGTTTATAATATTTATTGTAGCTACAGTGTTTGGAATATAGTGGAGAAATAGTATTTATCTTCTCCCCTTCTCTTTGTATAAGAGATATAACCCTATCAATAAAGTTACTTCTTGTGTGTATGTGTTTACATATATGCGCATATTACTTCTAGCTACTCTTGTCTTTCTTTTTCTAAAACATTCTCAACACTTTCTAGTTTTGACAATGGTGCCAAGTACTTTAATTTTATATATATATATATATATATATATATATATTTATTTATTTAAACTTTTTTAGTATAAAGTTAAACATCCATAAAAAAAAATTATATATATATATATATATATATATATATAGAGAGAGAGAGAGAGAGAGAGAGAGAGAAAAAAAAAGAGATATGTAGATATTGCAATGATAGTTAAAAAATAATAATTATATTTTGTTAAGAAAATATTATCAATGTAAAAATATTTATATTTCTTAATTATTCTACATAGTAAGATTATATATTTATCTATACATACATAGATAAAGAAATTAAATATTTTAATGTGTTATAATATGTACAGCTGAAGTAATAATTTAATATAAAGAGTATTTCAAACTAAAATTGTTTTATTAATTTTAATTTTCAAATACTAAAAAATAAAGTGTATTTTAAAATTTTCATAATAAGTGTTACAAACATTTGTAAGACACTTGGTTATTTTTCATTAATTTTTTTATAAATTTCCTTCATACGAATTTTCTTTGAATAAATAAAATTATCAGAAATTAAAATTTTAAATTAAGAACCCAATGCATTGAATTAAAAAATTATTTCTTGACTTAAAAGTACACACCCTGCGAACCTTGAGGAAATAGCAATTTAATAATTTTCATGTTACAACTGGAGTGTAAATTACAGTATTTACAATAGAATTATATTTTTATACTTTTATCTTTGAACTATTCTGACATCATTTTTAACTTGAAAACTTAAAACTACAAAGAGCACAGTCAAATCTTATGTTGAACATATAAAAATAAAAGTAAAAAAAAACAATTCTAGACAAATTATGTTTTATAGAATAATTTTATGAATTAAGTCTTTAGTTATAACTATTTTATGAACTAAGTTTTCAGAAACATTAAAATAAATTAAATTAAATTAAACCTGATACTTCACAAGTATTTATTTATTTAATTGTGTAAATTATATTAAAAATTTGGTAATATAATTATATAATGTTATGAAATATAATAAAAATATGATATAATATTTTTTTACATTTTTATTTTTACGGCATAAATACTAATTTATAAAAGATTTTTTTTAATGTATTATAATAAATTATTTATTTTGATATCCTTAGTTAATTATATTTTATCTAAAACTTGTGGTTATAAACTTATCATCTTTACCAATGTTGTGTGAGATTTTTGAGCTAGTGCAGAAGTAATAATAAAAAATATATTCATTAGATTTAGTTCTTAGAATTATAAAACAATACCATGAAATTTTGTATATGTGTACAATCTTCAAATAGTAAAGAAAAATATCAAGTCATTTAATTTATTTTTCAAAATTATTATATTAAATATCTTAAACTATGTTTTTAAATTTAAAATATTATATTTCGTAATTTGATTTACAATTGATTTATGCTTGAAGTAAAATCTATAAAATTATAATTTATTAATATGAAAAAGTAATTATTAATTAAAATAAGAAAATAAAAATAAGGTAAGATGGGCAATTCTTGTCTAAAAGTGCAGGAAATCTTTAAATTACAAACTAATAAGAATTTAGTAGTAACATTTTTGTAGGTACTTGTTCAATACAAAGAGCTACTATATAAATATCTCACAACTTAGACACTTGTGTCAAAAGTTTTGTGCTTTTTATTGAATTTTTATTGGTTAGTACATGCAATTGACAAAAAAATCAAAAAAATAATAACCGATTTCTAGATTATTCTATCAAAAATTAATAATATATTTATAATTTTATATTGATGTTATCTTTTTTTAACTAAATTTTTTGTGGGTTTATATATATGTACATAAATATATACATTCACAAAAGTTAATGGTCAAATACATTTTTAAAAACATTTCCAATGTGTGCAAACTTCTTTTTTTTTTTTTTTTTTTTTTTTTTTTCTATCTCACTAATAATGAATTAAGTATAGGAAATCAACATAATTTACAGTCTTAAAATGATAAGCTTAGCACAAGAGTTTATCTACACGTCAAGTATACTACCAATATATAGCAAAACAAAATTTCTTTTTCTTTATTCATTTATTTTTCTTAATTTGCACACAAAAATGAACTTACCCAGATAGATTCAAATAACCCAAAGTTTTGATCGCCATCTACAAGAGCTCAGGAAAATGTAGATAAAATACCTTTTATTTATTTATTTATTTATTTATATATTTTTAATATCATCTAAGGTAATATGAACAGATTGTCATGAAGTAGACACCAAGGGTCCAAAGCCAAAGGACCAAGTACCCGAGACGCGGTCATGGGGTCACGATACCATGGTCGTAGGAGTACCGAGACGGTGTCTTATCCAGCCCAATCCATCCACGGGCACGGGATACCGCGTCTTCGGGCAGCGACGAGGCCCTCCTCCTCCAGGTTCAGGTTGCCTTAGCAATCCATAGCTCGGCGAGCCCTCTTCTTTCTCCTCGTTTGGTCTCTATCGCTGGCTCTCTAATTGCGAAGAAGCCCTCCTCGTCATGGCCATGGCTACGTCCTCTGCCTTCTCCATGGCAGCTTTGAATTCTGTTCTGCCCTCTGGTTTTGCCCCTCAGACCAGGCACCCCGTTGCCTGTGCGCGCTTGGCAACCGGCGTGAGCGTGAAGCGGAGTGCTGCCGTGGTCGTGAAGCCGATCTCGGCTTCTAAAGCTGTTGTGTTCCAGGCGTTCGATGGCCTCAGGAATGAGAATGCGCTGCAATTGCGTACTGGTAAGTCTTAAAACTTGGTGGTTGTTCATTTGTGCGAATTGTTGGTTGGTTGGTTGGTTAGTTGGATTCATTTGGGTCTTGCATTGTGCATGTGTCGGGGTCGTTTCGTTGTGTTCGACAATGTGGGTTGTTGAGACAGAGACGTTAGGTGTTTAAGATTGTGCTTGAACCTCTCATTCTGGTAGTGTTGCAGCTGGAGGATAGTGTTGACTTTACTACAGCAGGTGTGGAATTAGAGGATTGAAAGGTTTTCGACCCCACAGAAATTAGTTAGGCCTGGAATTTCGGCACATACCATGTGCTCAACATGTCTGGTGATGATATGGAGAATTGATCTGAATGTAGTTTCCAATCGAATGGCTAGAAGTCTGAATGCTAAAGCCGATGATGCTCCTTTCATCCCTGGGTTTCACATGTGTTAATCCTAATTGAACCTCATGCATTCGTATAACAACTTATATTGTTCGTGTTGTTTTAGGGACACTGGCTCAGTCCTTTGTCGTTGCCGAGAAGTTTGATTATTCATAATAACAATAATTAATCACAGTTTTTCTCTTTCTGTAGGAGCCACTTTTGGGGTGATGGGTTTAGGAATCAGCAATGGTGCGAAGTGGTTTGCCATGAGACACGGCCGCAAAATTCACCGCCTCGGAAGGCCTGCCGATCAGCGTCGCGCTCTTCTCAGGGGCCTTACCACCGAGATTCTCCGCCACGGTAGGATTAAAACCACCCGCGCCCGTGCCACCGCCATGCGCAAGTATGTCGACCACATGATTACTCTTGCAAAGGGAGGCTCCCTTCACCAGAGAAGACAGGCCTTGGGCTTTCTCTATGACAAGCAGTTGGTGCATTCGTTGTTTGCTGAGGTGCCTGAAAGGTATGGTGAGAGGAATGGTGGATACACAAGGATTATCCGGACAATGCCACGAAAGGGTGACAATGCTCCCATGGCATTCATTGAGCTTGTATAGGTACTTCCTTTTAGATTTGTCGATTTTTCTGTGTAAAGAAGCTTCACATTATTTTGAGCACCTAGACACATGGGAATTTTTGTTATGGATGGCTTTCCATCGTGGACGATCTATTCTCAAGAGCCTTGAGTGCATCCACTTCACGATTTACTGCTCCTCTTCTCCCCTCAATAATGAGGTCTACTCTTGTATGACTAGACTGCTTCCCATGTCTAACGTTCTCTTGTTTAACGGTGGCGTTTTGTACCTCAAAGGTTTACGCACTTGGTGTAGCAAAAGTGACGGAGACAAAGACGAGGATTATGTAACTCGTTTGCAGCGACCAGAAATTGAATAGTTCTATGATAGCCTAATGCTTCAGTTCGAGTGGAGGCTTTAATGTTCAACGTTGCAGTCTGGGCTCATACATGTGTAGCTTTTGCAGAAGCAGGCGCTACAATGTCGCACATGATCACGAGTTGTTGTTTAGTCTTGTTTTGTCTTGTTTTGTTTCGTATCTGTTTCTCTATTTTTTCCTGACCCTTACATTTTCAGGGTTATCTGCTTTCAGCATGGAGCGAACCGTTACTAGTTTCTTGAAACCATTACCGATACCATTGCGGCCAATGGACCATGCGTATTTCTGTAGGCTTGATTATGCTTACCGAGGCTCCCCCTCCAGCGGCACATCACTTCGTACTTTCCGCCTGTTGTAGTTTCGATTTCATGGTCGAATTACCTACACTAAATATATAATCAAACCAGAGAAAAACGTTGGAGGTACACTGAAGAGGCTGTGTGAAATCTAACGTGCTTGGGGGATGCTTCCACTGTCATCTCTCGATGAAAGTTCAATAGTCATGTTCCTCAAGAGACAAGACCAAAAACCTGTCCGAAGAGTGTTTCAGACTGAATGTGGCTAATTCGTCCGATTTATTCCCAACTGTGACTTGTGCGGTGATTCGCAAAACCAAGTCACTGCTGCTTCGTTATACTTTTCTCAGGCAATGTCATGACACTTAGTGAGTAAATTCGTGAGCTGTGAAACTCTTTAAAGAGAAAGTGTTCATCACTAATGCACACAACTCTTACAGTCCCTTTTTTGTGGTGTTTCTTTCTAGTACCATGAGAGTTACTCTTCTCTGTGTCAGTGTAAGAACTCATATATTCATCTGTTCATTCTTTCAAATCAAATCATTTTAATACCAACAATTGTTTCTTCTTATTTATTATAACAGCCTGAAGCGTTTACCTCGACATCCTCAACCAGGAAATGAGAAACAATCATTTAAGGCATTCTTTATCTGTTGTTGAAATTGTTGCAATTTAGCTTCCAGCAGACGAAGTTTTGTTGCTTCTGCCCTTCTAGTTGAAGCAGCACATGGCGTGGATTTCATAACACAATCTTGTTTCGTAGTCCAACTATGGCTACTCCTTTTTTCTTACATCATCCAATCAGATCCCCGTCACTGTTACGTCGCGAAAAAAATCCTCCCGAACGGTGAATTTTTTCGTCTTCGAACCACCTTTAAGCAATAAAACAAGTGCTACTAGCCCTTCGAAAACCATGAAGCCACTCTTTGACTTTGAAAATACCCTTTGCATTTTCTCTTTTGTTTGTTTCCAATGGCTCGGAAGTACAACATTTTCAACTACATTGAAGAAGTCAACTATGGAATTTCCAGAAAAGTTACAACACGAAATCGATGTTTTTAAGAATGGAATGGAGAGGCAGCTCCACAAGTAATGGTTGATTCAGCATCTCGATAAACAAACATACATATGTATGTATATATATATATATAGAGAGAGAGAGAGAGAGAGAAAAAAAAACACACACACACACATTGAAGCCTGTTGGCATCAATGTCCGGCTGACGCGGAAGCTGTGCAGCACCCATCTTTGGCCCCAATCCTCCTCATCCTCCTCCTCTTCTGCCCTGCTCCGTCCAGTTCCGTTCCTGTATCTGTCTGTCTGGCCCCATCGGTGTGTCAGGGCCCATCACAGCCTTGATTGAGCTCCTTAATCAACCAATTGACTCAAGGGTCAGTCTTCCGCTGCTGGTGCACCATTGCCCTCAATGGAAAGTGAGAGAGAGCGAGGGTGAGAGAGCGACAGGCACAGAGAGAGACTGAGACTCAAGCTCTGAAGCATTGGCAAGAACGGAGAGGGGGAGAGGCAGTGAAGGGGAAGCTGGGAAAGGGAAAGATGCAGCAGGTGTCACCGTCTTGGCCTTGATTTGGCTCTGACATCCCCAAGCTCTGCTGCAGGATGACCCACTCCCAGGTTGTAGTAGCAATAGTAGTTGTAGTCATGGTTGTGGTGGTACTGCTACCCCTCACCTACATGTGTAAGTGAGGGGTATGTAAGATAGGGAGAATGAATGTGGGTATGTGTGGGAGTGTATGTGAGTGTCTGAGGCTGTCTGAGTGAGTGTGTGAGTGAGTGAGTGATTGGTTAGTTGGATTGGATGAATAGAGGGGTTCCTTTCCTTTCTTGTGGGAGCATCTCTCCCTATTCCGCATATTTCAGCAGGTGAACTACTCACTTAAAGAAGAATTCCTTTGAAGCCCCCAGTTATCCTACCAACTTCTCCTTCAACATATATGTATATATATATATATATATATATAATATTCCCTACCCCGTGGGAGATCTAAGGTCTTGATCACAACCTTCAGCTTTTGATGAGTTCAGATTCTAACAAAGAAAAAAGAAAAAGGATGACCTGTGCATGTACTCCTTGGGTAAGAAAGAGTGAGGAGTTTGGATAATGATAAATGAATAAACTTGGGTGGGGGTGGATGCCAGGAAGGAAGTTAGAAGCCTCATTTGAATCAATAAAAAACCAATAAAAATTGCTTCGTCAGTTTTTCAGCAGCATGGTGAGGAGGAGAGTACGTGCTTGTGGGAAGCTGGAAATGCTGCCCCCATCTCTACAATTCTTGAGAGGGAGGGGGGAGGGTTTTCCCCATCAACCATGATTGTTTGATAAGTTGATGTTACCCATGAGTGTGCGCCCCATAAAAGGCGCATGACCTTGACCAGCCTTCACTTCAAAAGTCCATCCCAGAAGCCATGTCCTTTAAGCTCAAGCATGAGTCAAGAGTCCAGGACCACCCTTCCTATTTTACCTCCTGCCTTTGCTGTTTGTTTTACACAATGAAGGGAGGGACCAAAAGGAAGGGAATAAAATAAAAACAACAAAACAGGATGTTAAAAAAAATGATAAAAAATACATATACTGGGGGGCGATTTATGGCATCCTGCCATCCACCCATTCATTACTCGTGGTGAAAACAGCAAATATTATGCAGATAATGTGACAAAAAAGAGGCTCATACTTTCCTCCGAGATGAAACTTCCGCTTGGGGAGTTCTAACTGTGGAAGAAACCGGTGCCTTTGTACTTAAACCAGTGTCGAAGGTCAGTCTCAAGACAGCGACACGGCAACAGCAGCTTTGGATCATCCAAGTCATTCTTTTTATCCATCTCTTCGTGCTTTCCCTGCTTCGCTTGCCTTGTCTTTTTCCCCGACTGGATTTTATGCGACATGGGTAATTAACTCTCGAACCCTCTTGCCGTGTAGACCCAATGGAGTACGAGTCCCAGTACAAGATTGTCTCGCAAGGCTACACGGCAGAGAGGATTTTCTCCAGCTTCGGGACAAACTTTCATGCCACGGCCGACGGCTGAACAGTGACGAGCGTTACGTAGTTTAGAGACAGAGGTAATGATTCTATTTGGGAAGCAGAGGAAAAGAAGACGTAGTAGAAAAGGAGAGCTGAACCACCAGCCATCTAGGCGTGTACAAGAAACACATGTGTTGTATTTTATTGTATTACTCTCTCAAAGGACAAGGCTGAACCATTTTCTCAGCCCATGAGTTCCATAAAATCGGTGACTCTTGGAAGTGCACGCTCAGAATGAGCTCCCCAGCGAAGCTTCGCTTCTTCTCCAACATCTGGTCCCGCTTCAGGGCACTGGTGCATGTGCTCCTCGCTAAACTAGGCTACAAAGCCATAATCAGTCTGCCTGTCTGTCTGTCTACATGCTCTATAATTCTGGGGATATGCCGAGCAGTAATTGTTGAGCCTATGCAGGGCTGCTTTCATCTCTACAGTCTAGCAATTTACAGAGTAGTACAAAATATGTTTACAAACGCTACTGGACGTGTTGCCATCGATTGCCGGAATCTGTACTGATGTAGGCAGTCATGATCATGATCATCATCTTTTTACAAATGTATCTGGGTCTTGAATTGGCTGATAAAATGCCGGAGTTCGCAGAGATAGTCGCTATAGACACGGGTAATGTATCTCCCCAAGATCAAAATCGGAGGCTGGAAGAATCTTCAGAAGTCGAAAGCTGCCGGAAAATTGAAGAAAACTGGAAAAATGAAAATAATTATAATAATAATGTAAAAAAAGGTACTCCGGGTTAAAGAAAAACAGGAAGCCGAAAAGCCGTGAGTTGAGCTGTGCTGCGGCGCTACTCCACCGAAGAACCTTGAACTGATACCCAAAGTTGCACGCTCAGAAACGACGCGCACCGTTTTCCATGGATGAGGAGAATCGTCGCAGCAAAGGGGTGGAGCTATCGCCACCCACAGCCTGAACCAACCATGGCGAGGCATTGCATGGCTGTCATGTAGCACACCTTGCAATCAGGAGCACCAATCTCCTCTCAACCTCGTTTCAGTAGTAGCTGTAAGCTTTCTGGAATGAACCTCTCCGCCTAAATTTAAAAGTACAGGCAGAAATAGGGTTCGACGCAATCCCACAGAACTGAAGAAGCACTCCTGCTCTCGTTCCTTCGGCTCACAAATAGGTTTCGCGCTGATTTCAGAGGATTTCCTTAAACCACACCGACTCCGAGAAAATCAATGAAGGGGACAGAGGGAGCAGGCTCAGGGTGCGAGAGTGCAAGCTCTTGGCCCTGGGTTGTCCTTCCCCACGCGAGCAAAGAGCCCAAGTCTCTCTGCAGCTCCGGCTGCTCGGCACTCTGCCGAATCGAATAACTTACTTCTGAGTGGCCTCCAAACCTCGGGTCGCCATGTCCATGCTGACCCTCAAACTGCCTTTGAATCTCAGCCCTGCAGCTCGAAGCCAGGAAGTTCCGGGCAGCCTCGTCTCTTTGGTTGTCACGGACAGTGGCAAATGGATTGACAAGGGACGGAACCCATTGGGATGCTGCGGGTGCCGCGCAAAGCCCTCCGTGTCGCATCATGACTCCCACCAAAGAATCCGTGCTCGGCGGCGAAGTGTCGTCCTGCAGTGGTGGCTTCTGCTCATGCAGCATTTGCAGGCCGAGGTGTGCAGCAGGCTGGGACAAACGTCTTGAAGATAGGGACGGTGCCAGAGGAGTTGTTGTTGCTGAGCTCGACGGTACAGCGCCTTCCATGCTGTGCTCGCTGAAACGTGCAGCACCCAGGTTACGGAACGTCTCATGCTGTGGGAATAGGAAGCCCGGATGAAATGAGGGAGGCGACATGGACACATTGGAATTGTTGACGCTGCGGTTGCCAGGGGAAGGGTTAAAGAGCTGGCTATGATCTGTGGGTAGAGAAGTGTCGGAGACTTCCCCACTGGGAATCGTTGGTGCTTGCTTCTCTATCCACGCCTTCAACGACCTGGCGTGGTGGCCTAGTGGGACTGACGATGAGCTGGGTCGTCTGCCTCGGCGAGGTGCTTGAGCTTTGCGACGGCCGGAGGAACGAGACCGCTCCCGGAACTTGCGAGCCATAACCACATGCCAATGGTTCTTGACGGCGTTGTCTGTGCGCCCAGGAAACAGGCGAGCGATCATGGCCCATTTGTTGCCGTGGAACCGGTGAGCAGCAAGAAGACGCTCCTCTTCATCTTCAGTAAAAGGTCGACGATTGATCCGTGGATCTAGCTGATTGAACCACCGCAGCCTGCAGCTCTTTCCTGATAAGAAAGAAAAACACAAACAGCTCTAGTGTCAGCAACTGCACTAACGAATGCATCATCACAGCCATAGACATCATCGAGAAATAAAGCGAATGTCGCGGCAGTTGTGGCTAGCACAGAGAGACGAAGAGGGTATCCACCTGATCGGCCATGGAGTTTCTCCGCAATGAGGTTCCAGTTTTGCGGCCCGTATTGAGACACAAGCTCCCTTAACTTCTCGTCTTCCGCAGGGCGCCAATGACCCCGGGGACACAGCTTGGATTGCACAGCACCGTCCATGGTGTCTCGTCCAACCGACTTGTGTTCCACGTCCTCGCTGGTAGACTCTTTCATCTCGTCCATGCTGCCTTGCTCCATGTCCTCATCACTGGATTGCTTAACCTCCTGGTTGTACTCCGAACGCATCCACCACATATGTCCCTCCTCCGACGGCATGACGCCTAGCGCCTGGAACGGGATTGTGCTCACCTTGCAAGCTACAGGCGTAACATCAGAACCGGAATTAGAAGTCCCTTCGCCGTCTGTGATATATGCGGTGTCGGCAGATGTTGACGAAGTTGTTACCCCGGCCAGAGAGTAGCTTGCAAGGGTAGGACTGTACGAGCTGGCCATGTGGTGCTGATGAGGGCTCTGCTGCACTGAAGCAGTGCGATGAAACTCGTAAGATTGCATCCTTTTCGTCTCCTCTTCCGCGAAGTGCAAGCACATTGCGTTACTGTAGTCTCGACCTTGTCAATGAGAATCAACACAAACGAACATGCCACTAGTCCCCGCACATGAATATGAGCACACAACTCGTAAGAGTGTGCCAGCTTCGCTAATAGTGCAGACACTGCTGCTTCCAAGTTCCCCCACAAACTTCGATGAAGACCAATAGATTAGCTCTCGTCGCACAAGCACTTCCTGGGCATGGACGAGAAACACGGGCCGAAGGTTCCAGTCTAGTTTAGTTTTCTCTTCGTCCCACTCCGAATGCGAGCTCTGACCTCTTCCGAATCAGAAACCAGCTCTATCCGACGACATTGTGTTTCGAGGACCAACGGTGCTATACTCGCTCATATCACGCACCCCGGTCACTCGTGCACTCTCCCCCACCCTACTCCAGCTCTAGAGTGGCGTACACACTTGCGTCTCGCACCTTCAGACAGCACTCTGCACCCCAAAACTTTCAACAATGGCCTCAGCTCCAGCTTTATATATCACACGAGGCGAGCGTCCAGCTTACGATTCCACGTCAAAGCAAGTCGGATGTTGGGTTGCCAACTTTCATCACCTAACTGTAGTTGACCAGCTACGTAACGTTGCAGGCAAGTCAACAAGCAGTGCCCATCACATGCAGGCGCCTCTTCTCCAGCGAAAATAATGATGAGGTGATTCAAAAGACCAGACTCGAGAGGGGTGAGAGTGCATGGTTGCGAATGGACGCTGTTGCCTGGCTTGCTCTTATTAACCAGCTGCCGCGGTCCGGTCCGACAGACAGACACTACAATGCAGGAGAAGTGAATGGGGCACTAGGCTATTTGCGGTAAGTTACCTGCTGATTGGGATGACTTTGTGTTATTGGTTTTGTCCCATGAGTTGCCCATATTAATAACATTTGTTTTCGCTAAGTTGGTGAATCCCTTTGCTGGGAAACGAGGTAGATTTTTTCTCACGCTTTCACTCTATTACTCTTTGTTTTTTTCTGTGTGTGCTGACGGAGTAGCTTCATGTACAGTCCACGAGGTTCATGTCCATCAGTGCCCCAGCTTCATTTATGTAATGGGTCTAAATGCAAACAACGATATTCTGAAAATTCTGTGCTGCTTTCTTTGAAGGGAGAGATGTTGGAGCTGAGCTATAATTGTAACGTTAACATGCTTGGCATTAGAAAATATTATCGTTTCGCTGCACCGCCCAGGGGAGCTGCAGCTTATTCCATTCCCTTTCGTCTTCCTCGTAGGGATCGGAACGGAACTCGGCTATTGCTGCAGCTTATTCTATTCCCCACACCATCGTTTTCTGTTATTTCCCACATAACGACAAATCGAAATTTGAAAATGGTTGTTGTAATTACATGTGCCATGCAATATTCTCACCGCGGAAAGCAGGAAAGCATGCATGTTAAAATGGAAAACGCCTTTGTAAACTGGAGCGGGGGGGGGAGAAGGGCCGTTGTTGCTGGCTGACCGGCCACCGGTGCCCAGTGCTGGTGGCTTAACTTAGTTCGAGGATGGGTTTGAAATCTTTGTTACTTCGAAGGGATGAGCTCAACAATATTCTCCGGATTGATTATCCCGTTGTTAAGGAAGGCATACTCGTTTTGTTTCCAACCATGTGCCTGCTGGATTCACGGCAACTGATATCAGCAACTCTGTTGCCTGAATGCACAGTCCAGAGTTCAACGCCTCCGTCCCAATTGGTTGGGTGTTTTTTTTTGGCAGTGCACAGTCGGATGGCAAAGCTCTCCTCGGGAGTTGGGCTGCTAAGAAAACGGGGCTTCCTTTCCATGTGCCCCCAATTGCTTCACTGCATTCAAACCTTTTCCATCCTCCATCCCACACAACTTGAGATTCACATGTGCGGTTCGATCCCACCCCTCAATTTGCTCCGGCCAAATGGACACATCAATCTCGCTGCACTGGATGGGGGGAAAAAAAAATCGCGTTGCTACAGCGATTTGTCATGAAACTGGTAGAATTGAATCTCATGCAGACTAAGGGAGGAAAAGGAACGATATCAACATGGAAAGATGAGAAAAATCAACTACAATCACCGTATCTTTCAAACAATAAAAACCTGCTTCCTTCGGAAGCTGTTTAGAATTTCCTAATGCACTTTAGTCTGTAATCTCACCTCATTGGAGACCAGAATATGCTCATTGTGCGGCATGGACATGGTGTGAAGGTCAATTATTATCTTACTCTACCACCATTTCCAGCGTTTAATTAATTAATTAATTTTTTTGCCTGTGGGGTGCTTGGCGCGTGAGTGAGCAGCAACCATCCCATAGAATTCTCCGTGAGCGTAAAACCCAGAGAGAGTTACTTTACGGTGCACAGCGAGGGAGAAAGGAACGGGAGCGTTGTACCCAGTGGGAGCAGGCAAAGAGGGAAGGGGAGGGGCTTCGCCCCACCCAACTTGGCAGTGGTGGGTACTGGTCGCATGGATCATTGTGTCCGCACCTCCGGCACTTTCCTGTCAGACCAGACAAGCGCAATGGCCCACTTCCCTATGCAGCTGATCAATTTAAGACGCTCGGTTTGAACCAGCCTTAGCCCATGATGAGAGACGCAAACGAAACCAATCAATTCCATACAAAACCAAACTAAACCAAACCGAACCTAACCAGAGAGTACACCCTCAGAGTTACAGACTCGTGTTGCTGGCAGCTCCTTGCTGTTGCTGCTGCTGTTTCTCCGAGCTCATCAGCAGCATTAACAAACTCCCTCCTCCCATTACATCTCCCTTCTATGAAAAAACAGTTTTACTATACTTTCGTTTTTCGTTTTTCGTTTTTCATTTCAAGTTCAGAAAATGCTAATGAGAATCCACTAGCGCTGTGGCAAGAGAGAAAAGGCTGACAACTCGGTAAACTAGGCTTGTCCACATGAAGAAAATCCTGCTGCTGCTGCTGGGGAATGTTTTTTTGGGCTTCGCAAGAGGGAGGGAGGGACTCAGGCCGGGTTTGTGGAAGCCAAAGCGCATACCCCTGGTGACCCCACCCATCTTCCATCCATCGTGCTTGTGTCTCCTTGGGCCCTCTCCTCCCTCTGTGTATGTAGATGTGTACATGTGTGTTTGTGTATATTCCCTCAACTATGTAGATAATGAAGACAAAAGCTTGTACCCTAGCCATTGACTATCCTCCCCCCCCCCTTTTGTGATTTTTTTGTGATTTTATTGTTCTTTTCTTTGATTTTTCCTCCAATGATGTGCATTTCAAAGGCTCAGACACCTTGGATTCTTCAAGATTTTTGTGATTTGCATTTTGATTTTGTGACAATATAACATCGTGGATCTACTCTATCCAAAATGAAGTATGAATTTTACAAATATGTTAAGAAGAAAATGTCAAAGACATGAATAAAAAACAATCAAAATATTAGTATATTCTTGTGTCATTCAAAGTGAGTAGATATTCACTCAAAGATGGTAAATTATTAGAACTAGAATGGCTATTTGCCAAAGATAAAAACACTAGAAATCCTTGAAAAAAAACTAAAAACGAGACATGTATTGACAAGAGTGAGGAATGCTACATTCTTTCCTCCATATATATCATTTAACAAGGAGCTACATGACAACATTCATTAGACCTTGAATATGTATTCAACTTGTACAATACATTTTAAACTTGTAAAAACAAGTTTCCTACATATGTGCCATATGACTAATTTATATTACAAGTCACTAATATGTGCAATACATGACCAATATGTTGGCCTAGTTTTCAAGCTATCAATCACCTACAAGCATATAAAAAGTCAAATCTACATCTATTAAGCTTTCAAAAAGCTTATTTATATTTTTTATAAAATTTATTAACTTCTATTATATTTTTTTAATATAGATAAATATGTATATTTGTGATATTACTTCTTTTGTTAGAAATGAATTTTACAAGGAGTACTAATTACATATTCAGAAAGTCCATGATATGACAAATTATATTTGTCACATATTTTAATCTTTTTTTTTCTTTAAAAGTAATTGATAGATCCTCTCAACCATTGATAGTGTTTCATACTAGGATATTAAGACCACCATATAATTTGATCATAATTTAGGTATTTGTAAATTTTTCCGAATAAAATATTTGAAATACCATCAAAGGTGGTTTATACCTCAAATGATATCTCTTCTGAGGTTGTAATACTAAACATGTTATATTTCACTATCTATTCAAAGAAATATATGTCATTCTTGATAATCTTCATCTCTATTACTTTGTTGTAAAAGTTGTGAAAATTTTAATACCTAGTCTAGTAACTCAACAAACAATAGATCTTAGTTGATTATAGTGGTTGTTGAACTTCCATCTCTTTAGAGCTATAAATATGTATAAATTACACAAAGTTAGAAGATAAAATAAAATCTTCATTGATCATTATTTTCTTTATAACAAAGAATTATGTGACTCTTTATTTTGGTTCTCATAAATAATGTTAATAAAATGTACCAATGTTATTTTTTATATTTGTAAGATTTTTGGCTAACTTCCAAATGTATTGATTAATACCATAATTGCAGTAATACACAAGATGTTTCAATCTATTTTGGCTTTGCTTTGAATCCAAAACTTCTTTGATTTCAAATTCTTATTTACTTTACATTTCTATACAAAGAAATATTATTTGTATTCTTTTCAATATATCCATTATCTTGTATGGTTTAAAAAGAGGCATGTAAAACACATGATATACTCTAATAAGTATAATATCATATGATATTACAACAAAATAACCATACATTATTGCCAACATGGAATTGAAGTTGTTCCTTATATTTTGCATCTACATTAATCTTTTATTAATGTTAATTTTTTAAAATTTTACCTTTATTATTACAAATTGCTTTGATAACAACTTTGTTAAATCTTTAGCTATAGGTAGGTCTCTTTAAATCAAGGCTTTTTTCCAAAGAATTCTAATTTCTTTAGAATAAGCTTAGTAAGATGTCATAAAATAAGGCCCCAATGGTATTTCTTTGTACAATAAAAAGAGACACTATATGTTGTAATTCATGTAGAGGAATACCAATCTATAATTACAACAGTCACGTCAGAGTATGCATGTCAAATTCACTATGGCAAATGAATTGCACATCCCTTGAAAATCCTTTATAGAGACAAAGTTTGGCCTTGTTTTGAATCCACAAGATGAAAACACCGATCAAGTTCTATTAGCTCAGTGCTTGTTTTGTGAGAAGCTTATTCATGAAGAGGTCAATTTCATGAGGTGTAAGTGGAAGTAGATAATGAATGTGAAAAATATTTTTAATTTATTTCTACACATATAACATTATCGCACATATGAAGTCGCAGCATGCCAAAGTATGGGCAAAATATAACGTCCTTTCAAATGCATCAAAGAAGTAGTTTTTTGACCAAGTGAATTTCAAAAATATACTCACATCTCATTTTAAGATCAAGAAGGTACTTATATTCACAATCAATGAAGACATTGTAGATGTGGTTATTAATAACATATTATTTAAGCGGATAATAAGAAATTTGCATCAACTAATGAATGAGTATTGTTAATTTTTGAATTATTCAAAAATGAAAACAACAACCAAGTTGAACTCAATGAAGAGCAAGATCTGAACCATAAAGTGTACAAGGTAGAAATCAATTCTTTGTGATTGTTTAGTCTTGTAATTGGCTTTGTCTCTTATGGAGCCTCATTCCAAATGACAACACATCTTATGAATATTACAAA